GGGGGGGAATTGTAGGGTTTGTCTTTTTTGAATGACGCTGAGCGTCTTGGTATGTGTGTGTGCACGGAGAGAGAATAAACCCTGTCCCCGCCTGATCGTCCAGCCAAGGTCAGGCTTCCCGTTTCGCTGAGTCATCACGCCGTTCCTCTCCACACCGCTGCCGCTGCCTGTGAGCAGCGAGAAGGCTGCCAAGTGCCCGGCTTCCAAGGGGAGGCTTTTAATTTGATAAGAATGTGGTGCATTCCGCCCTTCCCTCCCAGCCCCGTTTCTTGAGCAGCCAGTCTTGCAAAGGAAGACGGAACAGGGAACGGAGATGCCATGCCGTTTGGCATCAGCTCAGGGCTGGTTATCCCCCCCCACATTGGAAAGTGGATGACAGGTCGCACAGTGGGAGGGAGGTGTCATTTAGAGACAAAGCGGAGACTGCTAATTGTGTGCTCCGGCTCCCGGCCATGGATGGTGAGGAGAAGAAAACAGGGCCTCTGGCCATGTGCAGTGTGCCTTCCTTAGTGGCTGAGTAAGGACTCCTCCCATGCAGGTTTGGGGAGGGTGCAGTTCTTCCCAGAGGAGGGCCAGTGTGAGCAGTGGCTACAGTATTGACAGGGTCAGCTCTAGGTCTTGGGGGGTTTGTGTCCAGAATGCCTTCCTGTGGTTCCAGTTTGGTGCACTGGTTAGGAGCGCGGACTCAAATCCGGGAGAACCGGGTTTGATTCCCCGCTCCGCCTCCACATGCAGCGGCTGGTGTGACCTTGGGTCAGTCACAAATTTTCTCGGAGCTGTTCTCTCAGGAGCAGTCCTCGAAAGAGCTCTCTCGGCCCCACCTACCTCACAGGGTGTCTGTTGTGGGGAGGGGAAGGGGAAGGAGATTGTAAGCCGCTCTGAGACTCCCCTGGATAGTGAAGGGCAGGGTATAAATCCAATCTCCTCCTCCTCCTCCTCCTCCTCCTCCTCCTCCTCCTCCTCTTCTTCTTCTTCTTCTTCTTCTTCTTCTTCTTCTTCTTCTTCTTCTTCTTCTTCTTCTTCTTCTTCTTCTTCCGTTCAAATGCTTAAAGAGAGCCATCATGTCCCCCCTCAACCTCCTCTTCTCCAGACTGAAGCTTCCCAAGTCCCTCAGCCTTTCCTCACAGGGCTTCTTGGTCTCCAGGCCCCCCGATCATCCTCGTCGCCCTCCTCTGCCCCCGCTCCGTTCTCTCCGCATCCATTTTGAAGACAGTACTCCAGAACTGCACACAAGACTGCAGGTGCGGCCTGACCAATGCAGTGTACAGCGGGACGATGACATCTTTCTTATAGAATGTGCCGACTTCCCAGAAAGCATCTGCTTTTTTCAGATTCCGCCAATCATGCCTGTTGGAATTATTCAGGAGCGCTCTCCACACCACCACCGATGTTTGAATGACGTATGTTAGTTTAGGTACAGCAATTGCGGTCCAAGTGCAACCAGCTTACAGCGACCCCAGCAAGGGGCGTTCGAGGCAAGTGAGAAGAAGCAGAGGGGCTTTGCCGTTCCCTTCCCCTGCAGAGTCTTCCTTGGTGGTCTCCCATCCAAGTTGAACCTCCGAAATCGGACGAGACTGGGCTATTCAATGCTCCCTCTAAGCCCTGGAGTCTTGTGAGCAAAAGTTCTACTTTGTGAGCGACTGGCATGAAAGTTGTGAGCGAGCGATTTGTCTACTGCATGAATCAGTTTGCTCTGGAGCCGTCCAGCCTGAGCTAAGACAAAAAGGTGTGAGCCGGAGGCTAAAAGACTGTGAGCTAGCTCACACTCACTCAGCTTAGAGGGAACACTGCCTGTGAGACAGGATGGGATCCATACTCCCTCTAAGCTGTGGAGTCTTGTGAGCAAAAATTCTACTTTGTGAGCTATGGGCATTAAAGTTGTGAGTGAGCGATTTGTCTACTGCATCAATTAGTTTGCTTTGGAGCCGTCCTGCCTGAGCTAAGGCAAAAAGGTGTGAGGCAGAGGCTAAAAAAACTGTGAGCTAGCTCACACTCACTCAGCTTAGAGGGAGCACTGGCTGTACTGGGCTGCCTGCCTTCCCATAGGCTACTTCCAATGTATGTTGGTTGTGTCTCATGTGTATTGCTGCTGTCACCCACCCGGAGTCCCCTTTCAGAGACTAAAAATGCTCTCAGCTGATTTGTCTTGACCTTTCTCTGTCAGAATTCTTCGGGGTGTTTTGTGCTGGACAGTGCCCAACGCCCAGTGGCCTCTTGCGGGGACCATGATCTGACTCTTGCCTGCAAAACGGAGCTTCCAGCCCCTCCCCATAACCTGAACCCGATGGCCTTGCTGACTCCGGCGCTTCTCCATTTTACCTCCGCCCCCCCTCCTCCCCCCATAGCACCTGACTCAGCCTCTGGTGAGCCCGAGGGGACTGCATGAGTGTGCGCCGCACGCAGATTGCAAGCGAGGGCGTTTTCGGGTGAAACGTTCCACCAGCAGCTTATTCGCCGAGGCCTCTTTTTCCTCGTCTCCTGCACTTTCGCCATGCATTGACTTTGGAGACCGCCAGTTCACAAGCCTGAGAGCCATTTTGGTGTCGTGGTTAAGTGCGCGGCCTCTAATCTGGGAGAACCGGGTTTGATTCCCCACGCCTCCACATGCAGCTGCTGGTGTGACCTTGGGTCAGTCACAAGTTCTCTCGGAGCTGTTCTCTCAGGGGCAGGCCTCAAAAGAGCTCTCTCAGCCCCACCTATGTCACAGGGTGTCTGTTGTGGGGAGGGGGAGAGAAAGGAGTTTGTAAGCCTCTCTGAGACTCCGAGTGAAGGGCGGAGTATGAATCCAATCTCTTCCTCTTCTTCCTCCTCCTCTTCTTCCTCTTGCTCCTGCATATGGATTGGCCTGGGGATGCCCTGGCGGTATCATGTCGTCCAGAGAACTTCACAGGCCTTCAGAAGGGAAAGGAGGCTTCCCCCCGCCCCCGCCCCTGTTCGGTTCTTTCCCTTCTGTGTGCTGCGGAGAGCAATACCCCCCCCCCCCAATATTAGGCATTCATGCCGGGAATCAATGACCTGGTACCAGGGGCTGGACTCCTGGTAAAACACTGACAAGCTTCGGGGGGGGGGGTTCTGTGACCACAATCTCGCTCTGTGTGTTGTTAAAGAAACATCTGTAGGTCAATGTTTTTCTCTTGTCCTTCTTCCCAGGAGCTCGGGACAGCATGCACGGTCTTCTCCCACCCTTTGTCCTTACAACTACCCTGTGAAGTAGTCTGAGAGTAGGCCGTGGCTCGGTGGTAGAGCAACTGCCTGCCATGCAGAAGGTCCCAGGTTCAATTCCCGACATCTCCAATTAAAAGTACCAGGCAGTAGGTGATGGGAAAGACCTCTGCCTGAGACCCTGGAGAGCCACTGCCAGTCTGAGTAGACAAGACTGACTTTGGTGGTCCAGCGGTCTGATTCATTAGAAGGCAGCCTCAGCTGTTCACGTCACTGCGACCAGTCTAAGGTGAATCCCCCAAGTAGAGGTCTGAATTCAGGTCTCCCTGGTTCGTGTCCGACAGGCTGACCCCTGTATTTATTCAGGGAATTGGTTTGTTAGGCCCCTTTAGCTCAATAATGACACCAGACTAGCTCTCAAAATAATCTCCAGTCCAGAGCAGTGTGAAGGGAAGGGTGGGTCTGTTGAGGACTGTGTGTGTAAGGGAGACGTGGGGCGATTCTGCTTTGGCTGTTCCCTCTGTTGTTTTACGAAGCTCACGATGGAACAGAAATTCCCCTCTGCATTGCACGCTGCTTTCACTTTCTTTGATCGTCAGATTCTGTGATATCCTCTACACCAGGGGTATCAAACATGTGGCCCGTGGGCCGGATTAGGCCCCCAGAGGGCTTCTATCGGGCCCGCAGTGGAACTGGCTGTCTTCTACTTCTTCTTCCAGTTCTGCTGCTGCTGCATCATCATAGGTTTGCAGCTGACAGATACACACCTGAACAGCAGACTCAAGATTGCAACAGCACAGACATTTTGGTGCAGTAATTCAGAGCAAGAGGTGTCAGTTATCAGACGCTGTTAAACAAACAATATATGGCAAGAGTGCTAATGTTTTAAGCATGTTTTTATTTTAAGTTTTTTAAAAAAACCTTTGTGTTTGTGTCGTTTATGACGTTTATATCTCTGCTACCTGGCATTACATTTTATGACACACATGGCCCGGCCCAACAAGGTCTCATTTATGTCAGATCTGGCCCTCATAACAAATGAGTTTGACACCTCTGCTCTACACTGTTTGCCCCTTTCGCTTTCTTTGTTCATCGGGTTTTATGGTACCTTCTGCATAGATTTATGGCTGCCCAGGGGTGACTTTGCAGTCTGTACGGCGTTGCCGCGAGGTACCTGAATGTGGTTTTGAGCTGCACCTTTTCCTCCCGGTTGAGAAAACGTGAAGCGAATGCTAGGTGCAGAATCGCCCACAGTCTGGGGCAGACTGTCGAAGCCTTATGAGATTGGACTTGGCCATGAAATGCTTCTATAGGACTCCTAGCCAATCAGAAGGCTGGGTTGAGTAGCCAGTCAGGGCTGGGGAAATTTCCTGGGGAAGTCTGGAAAGGCCAGCTGCCGCCGTCTTCTATGGAAAAGGCCTCTCCTTTGAACCAGAAGACGCAAATTTGGGTCCAGCGCCTGTTGCAACCGCCCCGCCCCAGTTGCCAGTTCTTCCAGAATTGATTCTGCTTTTATGCAGATTTTCTTCTTTCAAAGGATTTTCCAGATAATCTCATTTTCCACTTAGCCTCTTGTTCAGGAGTCTAAACGTGCAGTTCTTCCAAGCCTGCCCATTGATCTAGCTAGTACTGACAGCTTGGACCGGAAATGACTCTCCATGATCTCTCACAAGGGTTTTCTTCCACTACACAAGAGCCTTTGAAATGGGAGTTCCCAGGAATCGAACCCAGGACCTTCTGCATCAAAACAAGGCCTTTTGCTTCCAAGCCATTATCCTGGCAGAAATTCTGTCCCCGGGACAATCATTTTGATCTTCTTTTTTACTCTTACTCCTCAGGCTGTGGCCCACATCTTGCCCTTCCGAGACCAGAACCGGCATCATTTGGACCCGATCTGGAACAGGCATCACGTTGAGAGGGTGGAAATTGTCTTAAAGGAGACAGTGGATGTGAAAAGTGGGTGATTTTCGTGTGGCGTGCTGGTGTGTGTGTGTGGGGGCAAGAAGGAATCAGCTTATCTATCGCTTACAAATGTGGGATCTTTAGGGTGGAACTTTGCTTCCAGGATCACATTGGAGTACTTCATGCTGGCGTTTGTTATGTTGGAGTCGGTTCTTTAAGAGAGTATGGTGGAACTGGAATCGGAGTCTCTGTGAGCTTTGTATGTTGGTACTTTTTGAGAGCCAGTTTGGTGTAGTGGTTAGGAGCACGGACTCTAGTCTGGGAGAACCAGGTTTGATTCCCCACTCCTCCACATGCAGCTGCTGGTGTGACCTTGGGTCAGTCATAAGTGCTTTCAGAGCTGTTCTCTCAGGAGCAGTCCTCGAAAGAGCTCTCTCAGCCCCGCCCACCTCACAGGTTGTCTGTTGTGGGGAGGGGAAGGGAAAGGGATTGTAAGCCGCTCTGAGACTCCTTTGGGTAGTGAAGGGCAGGGTATAAATCCAATCTCCTCCTCCTCCTCCTCTTCTTTTTCTTCTTCAACATCTGGAAGCTTTCTCGCAGTCTTGGAGTGTTTAGACTTCCAACAGCCCTGCAAAGTAGGCCACGGTTTTCTTCCTACAGGTGAAGAACATAAGCTGAACAAGTCTCATGCCCCAAGCTGCTCAGTGTTTTTGATAAGGAGAACTTCCCTGGTTCATTCTTTGAGTGGTGCAGAAGTTCACTCTGCCATTCGATGACTTACTGGTTTCAGTTTAAATAGGAGAAGTTCTAAAATTGGTTCCCAGAGCGTGCACCATTCACTGCAGCTCACAGTGCCATCTCCCAGTCACGTTTTTATCCCGCCCTTCTTTCAGGGAGCTGGTGGGTGGCCCATGTGATCCTCCCTTCCTCTGTTCCATCTTCACAACGACCCTGGAAGGTAGAGCAGGCCGAGAGGGAGCTGGCCTGCAGCCAGCCCAAAGTCACCAAGTGGTCTTCATGAGTCAGGGCAGATTTGAACCTGGGCCTTCCCGAGGTCACAGTCTGACACCAGTCACGTTGGTTCCTTCTATTTTTTGCCCCTTTCTTTTCCCCACTGTGTCACCAGTGTTCACTGAGGAAGACATTTAAAAAAGCAGTCTTGATGCGATTGCATGCACGGTTGCACAAGAATGATTCTGGGGTGGCATTCGGTTATTGCACGGATGTGCTCTTGCACAGTTCTAAGCCGCCACACACAAAATAATCTTGATGCAGCAACATTCCACCAAGTTGACTTTTTTGCCCTATCAATGCGCATACGTGTGTGTCTGTAATATAGGGGATCCTGCCAACCTAGCAGTTTGAAAGCGAGAAATTGCAAGTAGATAAATAGGTACCACTTCAGTGGGAAGGTAACAGCGTTCCGTGCACCTTGGTGTTTAGTCATGCCGGCCACATGACCACGGAAACGTCTTCAGACAGCGCTGGCTCTTCGGCTTTGAAACGGAGATGAGCACCGCAACTCTAGAGTCAGATTTGACTGGCTTTCGAGCAAGGGAACCTTTACCTTTAATATAGGGGAGGGGAAGACCAGAACCTGCAGCCAAACCATTGATGAGCATCACCCCGTGCAAAATTTGGCAACAAGCAACCATGGAGGATGCTTCCCTTTTGGAAATGGAACCAAGGCAGAAGCCAGGATGGAACCTTCTTCTTCCCAAGGCACCTTCTGCACCAAAGCCCAAGCCCTGCCCAGGGAAAACAAACAAACGGCTCTGAACATCAAGGGCCACCACTGTGAATTTATCTGTTGGACTTTACTCTCAAGGCTGGTCACTCGAGTCTTGCCTCCTGGCCCTTAAACTTGGGTGAGAAGTTTCAGCTTTGGGAAGACTCCCTTTCTCAGCTTATAGAAGCCCAAGAATTTGCCCCGTTTCACCAGGGCAAAGGCCCTTCTAGGCCAGCATCTTCTCTCCAGCTGTGGACAGATGGATGCTCCCAGGAAAGCCAGAAGCGGGGCATGACGGCACCGGCCCTCCCATCTCTTCTTTTGGTCTCCTGAGATACACTGCCTTAGAAGATGGAGGTTCCATCTAACTGTCATGGTCTTGTTAAAAAACAAAAAATATCTATGCTGCCAATGCTCCCTCTAAGCTGTGGAGTCTTGTGAGCAAAAATTCAACTCTGTGAGCTGCCAGCCTTAAAGTTGCGAGCGAGACATTTGGCTGCTGCATAAATCAGTTTGCTCTGGAGCCACCCTTCCTGAGCTGAGGCAAAAATGTGTGAGCCGGAGGCTAAAAAACTGAAAGCTAGCTCACGCTAACTCAGCTTAGAGGGAACACTTCGTGGCCGTTACTCCTTTTGCAACAGGGGATTTCGCAAAAATCAATTCAGTGCGGCAGAATGAAGAGCCGTCTTCCGTGTCCTTTGCCGGTCAACTTCTTTGGGTGACTGAGTTTTACCATTATTTGAGGAGGGGGGAGAGGAAAGGGAGACAGCAGTTCTTCGGGGGCGGGGGGGTGAGACTGCAGGCCTGCGCTTTGCGCATCGGCCGGAGAGCCCGTTTTCCCGCCTGTCGGCACAACCGGACCAACCATCACCGCCCCGTCAAGGGCACAGCGGTGCTCCGGTTCACTGCAGTGCTGCAGTATCCCTTCTGCAGGCCCGGCTGCTCGAGGCTGCACCTGCCGCCCGCGTCAGGATGACTGGGGGGGGTGTTTGCCCTCGCTTTCTGCAGCCTCAGAAACGCGCCTCCGTGCACGCGGTGCCAATTAGCAATTGCTTTTATTAAAAGCCGTGAGTGATGGTTCGGCTTGGCAAAACGGCGCGGCTTCTTCTTAGGTAAAAGGGGGCGGCAAGGGAGAGCCGGGCTGCCTGGGGTTCTCCCCCTCTGCAGTTTTTCATTCTCTAACACCCCCCACCCCACCCCCGTTCCCCTGCCCCGGCCCAGGTCGGCAGGGCTCAGTCCCGTGCCAGAGAAAGTGCAGCATCGATTACGCTAATGAATGCGCTGTGGGTTAGGACAGAGGAGGTGGAGTTCCCCGTTCCAAAGCTAAAAAGGGAGAATCAGCCTGCTGGTGTCCCCGGGAGAGTTTGTTTGCAGAGGAGCATCACGGAGAAACTTCAGGTTGGCCCCTCTCCCTATTTTCTACCCCCCCCCCCCAATTCCTTAATCACCCAGTCAGAAATTAAACAGGGAGGGGAGGCTTGGGGGGGGGGGTCAGTGCCTTCTCAAGGGTATTGCAGCCAGAGGTTTTCCCAGGGAAGGTCACTCGAAGCCATCCTTCTCCAGTATCTGTTTCATTTCGTTTCATTTCTATATCCTTTTCCACCGAGGAGCTCAGGACGGCGCAGGCCACTGCGTGAGTCCGTGCGTAAGCATGGGAAGGTGGCGGAATGATGTGACGGGGGCAGAATGATGTTTCCCGAATAATCAACGCTTACTCAAGTTACTAGTCCTCATGGCCGTGCAAAATGGGTGGGTGAGGCCCAGCGAAATCTCAGAAAGCAGAACGGTGGCTGAATCCCATTCTAGTGGTTGCACAGAATCACAGAGTGGGAAGGGACCTTAGAGGCCATCTAGTCCAACCTGCTGCTCAATGCAAGATCAGCCTAGAGCAGTGGTGGCGACCCTATGGCACGGGTGCCAGAGGTGGCACTCAGAGCCCTCTCTGTGGGCACGCGTGCCATCGCCCCAGCCAGGCCCAGACCTCCATTAAAGTGTCGAATTCTCTGCCAAATAATTTTAAGGAAATGAAAGCATTTGGGATTGCTTTCCTGACTTTGTTTGGATCATCTTAAGTTAATGTAGGAGTTGTTTTTTCTAAAGTAAAACTTCAGTATTCAGGTTAAATGGCCGTGTTGGCACTTTGCGATAAATAAGTGGGTTTTGGGTCGCAGTTTGGGCACTCGGTCTCTAAAAGGTTCGCCATCACTGGCCTAGAGAGCATCCCTGACAGGGGTTGGTCCAGCCGCTGCTCGGAGACGGCCAGGGAGGGGGAGCTCACCACCTCCCCAGGCAGCTGATTCCACTGCTGCACAGCTCTGACTGTAAAACAGTTTTTCCTCATATCCAGCCGGCACCTTCCCGCCCTTAATTCAAACCCATGCTTGCAAGTCCTCTCCTCTGCTGCCAAGAGAACAGCTCCCCGCCCTCCTCTAAGGGACAGCCCTTCAAACGCTTAAAGAGAGCCATCCTGTCCCCCCTCAGCCTCCTCTTCTCCAGACTGAACATTCCCAAGTCCCTCAGCCTTTCCTCACACGGCCCCCGATCATCCTCGTCGCCCTCATAAGAACATAAGAACATAAGAGATGCCAATGTTGGATCAGGCCAAAGGCCCATCCAGTCCAACACTCTGTGTCACACAGTGGCCAGAAATACCAGGTGCCATCAGGAGGTCCACCAGTGGGGCCAGGACATTAGAAGCCATCCCACTGTTGACCCCCCCAAGCACCAAGATGACAGAGCATCACTTGCCCCAGAGTCCCTATCTATACCTTGTGGCTAATAGCCACTGATGGACCTCTGCTCCCTCCTCTGCCCCCGCTCCATTCTGTCCGCATCCTTTTGGAACTGAGGCCTCCAGAACTGCACACAAGACTCCAGGTGCGGCCTGACCCATGCAGTGTACAGCGGGACTGTGACATCTTGCTGTACATACCGGCTTGTTTGCTGAACCTCTGTTTCACTGGCTTTTGGAACATCAGCCGACATTGCTGGCATCCTTTTAATATCTTCCCAGCCACGAGGGCTAGAGTTTTGCTTTGTAACTTAAATGAAAGTTTAGATTCCAAAGGACGCAGGTTTCATAAAACATTCCGCAGTCCAGTGTGGTCCGATTTGCAGAGTCCACATCTCCCTGCTTAACGACTGAAATGAACTGGTTCCACAGAGTAGCTTGTTTTATTCAGCTGGTTTGTCAGGGACCCCCCTCCCCTCCAGTTGCTCATTTGACTGCTTGTGCCTTTTGGGGAAGGGCTGTGGCTCAGTGGGAGAGCCTCTGCATGGCATGCACAAGGTCGCAGGTTCAATCCCCGGCATCTCCAGTTGGAAAAAGGACCTGGCAGTGGGTGATGGGAAAGACCTCCGCCTGAGACCCTGGAGAGGCCCTATCTGTCTGTGTAGACAAGACAGACCTTGATGGGCCGAGGCTCTGATTCCAAATAAGGTAGCTACGTGTGAGAGTTCCGTTCAGGGGAGGGGCCATGGGTCAGTGGTTGAGCCTCTGTTTGGCATGCAGAAGGTCCCAGGTTCAATCCTCGGCATCTCCAGTTGGAGAAAGGACCTGGCAGTAGGTGATGTGAAAGACCTCTAGCTGAGACCCTGCAGAGCAGCTGCCAGTCTGAGTAGACAAGACTGACCTTTATAGACCAAGGGTCTGATTCAGTATTAGGCAGCTTCCTACCTTAGAACATAAGAGAAGCCAATGTTGGATCAGGCCAATGGCCCATCCAGTCTGACACTCAGTCACGCAGTGGCCAAAAATACCAGGTGCCATCAGGAGGTCCACCAGTGGGGCTAGGACACTAGAAGCCCTCCCACTCTTGCCCCCTCCCAAGCACCAAGAAGACAGAGCATCCCTTGCCCCAGTCTGAGAGTTTCACCTATAAGAACATAAGAGAAGCCAATGTTGGATCAGGCCAATGGCCCATCCAGTCCAACACTCTGTGTTATACAGTGGCCAAAAATACCAGGGGCCATCAGGAGGTCCACCAGTGGGGCCAGGACACTAGGATCCCTCACACTGTTGCGTCCCCCCCCAAGCACCAAGAATACAGAGCATCACTTGCCCCAGACGGAGAGTTCCTATCTATACCTCGTGGCTAACAGCCACTGATGGACCTCTGCTCCAGATGTTTCTCCAATTCCACCTTGAAGCCGTCCATGCTTGTAGCTGCCACCACCTCCTGATGGGTGTTCCTGTGTTCATGAGCCCGTTCTTTCCCTCCTTCCCCCAGATCGAACCAGCTTCTACGAAGAATACGGGGTCATCCGTGACGTCCACCAAAACCACCTCACGGAAGCCCTGATGTTTCTCACCATGGAGCTCCCGGCAAACGTCAGCAGCTCCGAAGACGTTCTCCACAGCAAGCTGCGGACTTTCCAGTCGCTGCGAGGCCTGGATAAAAGGAGCGCCGTGATTGGCCAGTACGAGACATACGGCAGCCACGTGAGGGAGGAGCTCCAGAAAGGGCCGAACTATTTCAGCCGAACGCCCACTTTTGCTGGTAAGGCTGAGGCTGGAAGCGGGTTGGGGTGGGGGGGGGTTTAGGTTGAGGCTGGAAGTACGTGAGGCCCTGTGGCCCCAAATCTGACTCCACCCTGGGGTAGCTGGTGGTGGAAAGGGTTGTCAGGTCGCAGCTGACATAGGACGGCCCTGTAGGGGTCAGTTTTTAAAGCGAGGCCCCGCCCAGTGGAAGAGCCTCTGCTTTGCACACAAGAGGCCCCTGGTTCGATCCCTGCCATCTCCAGTTGAAAGGACCGAGCAGGAGGTGATGGGAAAGGCCTCAGCCTGAGACTTAGGGGAGCGGCTGCCAGTCTGAGCGGACAATGCTGATCTTGCCACATGATAATTAATTAGTTCTTCCTCCGTGTCTCTCCTCCAAGCTTACTTCCCAAGATCAGATGAGACTGGGTTATCCCATGCTGGGATATACCAGTTTAGGGGTTGGGAACACCCACTAATTAATCAATTAATTCACGTTTCCCTCGCCCACTTCTTACGGTTCCCAGGGGTGCTGATTCACCTGGAGAGCCTGCGCTGGGACGGAGTCCCCTTCCTCCTCACCTCGGGAAAAGTCCTGGATGAGCGAATCGGCTACGTCCGCGTCCTGTTCAGGAAACGGGCCTTCTGCACCCAGAACGAAACGGCACGGGGCAGCGCGAGCAGCCCGTGCAGACGCAAGCAGATCGTTTTCTACATCGGGCACGGGGAGCTGAATTCCCCCGCCGTCCTCGTGAGCCGTAACCTCTTCAAGCCCGTCATGCCGGAAGGCAGCTGGAAGGCCGTCTCGGATCGCCCGCGGCTGCGTCTCTTCGGACAGCCTCTCTCCGATTACTACACGTACCTCCCCGTCAAGGAGAGAGACCCTTATGCGGTCCTCATCTCTAGGATCTTCCATGGCAAGAAGGAGTCCTTCATCACCACCGAGAACCTGCTGGCATCCTGGGAGTTCTGGAGCCCCTTGCTGGACAGCTTAGCCGGGGAACTGCCTCGTCCGTACCCGGGAGGCCCACAAAACCAGCACCTCCTGGATTTTGAGATGGTGGGCGGAGAAGTGTCCTTTGTGGTGAAGGAGGCGCTAAAGATGATGGGGGCCAGCGACGAGCAAATGCCGGACCAGTACAAGACCCTGCATTCCCGGTTCCGGCAAAACCAACTGGTGACCGCTTGGCCGGAAGAACTGATCGACCGCCTGGCGTCTGACATGGAAGCCGCCGCCACCAGCGCCGTGGAGAGAGCGGGCCAGTTCCACTTGGCGCTCTCCGGCGGGTCGAGCCCGCTGGCTCTGTTCAAGCGCCTGGCCGCCCATCACTACGGCTTCCCCTGGAAGCACACCCACTTGTGGCTGGTGGACGAACGCTGCGTCCCCCTGACCGACCCGGAGTCCAATTTCCGGAACCTGCACGACCACCTTCTGCAGCACGTCCGGGTCCCCTACTTCAACATCCACCCCATGCCGGTCCACCTCAACCGGCGGCTCTGCGTGGAGGGCGACAAGGGGCCGGAGCTGTACGCCGGCGAGATTGCGGCCTTGGTGACCAACAGCAGCTTCGACCTGGTCCTCCTCGGGGTGGGCATCGACGGGCACACGGCCTCGCTCTTCCCCCAGTCCCTCGTGGGCCTGGAAGGGAGCCCGGGCGTGGTGCTCACGGAGAGCCCCGCCAAACCGCACCAGCGTATGACCCTCAGCTTGCCGCTCATCAACAGAGCCAAGCGGGTGTCCGTGCTGGTGATGGGGAAGAGTAAACACGACATCGTGACCCTGGTCAGCCGGGTGGGGCAGGAGCCGAAGAAGTGGCCCATTTCTGGGGTCAACCCCAGTTCGGGCCACATAGCCTGGTACGTGGACTACGAAGCTTTGTTTGGATGATCCGTAGCGATCTCCTCCTCTTTCACGCCCGTCGTTCGGGATAACCCTTGTGGTTAGAACCGTTGCTTCTCTGAAATCCTAGAGAGGGAGTCTGTTGTGGGGGAGAGGAAGAAATCCGCTGCCTATTAATGGCAGAAGCACTGGGATTTCCTTAACCGATCTCAATCTTTTCAAGTATTCTGCTTCCTCTGGAACCCAGCCTGATCTCTCCCCCCAACACCCCCACCCACTAATCTGGGAAATCCAGAAGGGGTTAACACCTTTCCCTGTCGTTTGTCATCTTCTGGGCGTGGAACGGGGGTCACTGGGGATGTGGGGGGAGGTATTTGTGAATTTCCTGCATTGTGCAGGGGGTTGGGCTAGATGACCCTGGGGGGTCCCTTCCAGCTCTATGATTCTATGATTGTCTGATTCCCCCCCAGCATTTATAATTCTGAATTCTACTACCTCTGCATCAGTGTCCCCTCTAAGCCGAGTTCGCGTGAGCTAGCTCACAGTTTTTTAGCCTCCGGCTCACACATTTTTGTCTTAGCTGGGGAAGGACGGCTCCAGAGCAGACTGATTTATGCAGCAGCCAAATGGCTCACTCACAGCTTTAATGCCAGTCGCTCACAAAGGAGAATATTTGCTTACAAGACTCTCCACAGCTTAGAGGGAGCATTGCTCTGCATATGGAGGTTCTATGTGGCGACCGCCCCTAGATCTATCCTTCCTCATAAGTTGTTGTAGATTTTCCGGGCTGCATGGCCGTGGTCTTGGCATTGTAGGACCTGACATTTTGCCAGCAGCTGTGACTGGCATCCTCAGAGGTATGACACAGAAAGATAGAGTACTCTCTGTGTCAAGGCGAGAAGAGAAATGGTAGGCAGGTAAGATTGTCTAGTCCTTTTGTTGAAGCCGTCATGAGCTTCGTGGCAGTACCTTGTGGCTGTGAGTCCCAGAGGTCCATGGATACATGTGAGTGCGAGGAGCTAAATACAAAGAGACATTTCCCCAATTCCTACTTCTGCCATGGGCCGATGACTTTTGCTCTGCAGTCCTCTGTTTGTCCTCTCCTCTGCAGGAATAGCCCAGAACCTTTTCAGATTGGACTCTGTTTCCACAGTCCCATGAGGAAAGGTCGAGGGATTTGTGGAGAGTTTAGCTCTTGGGACGAACCCTCAGATCTGAAAGTTTGTGCAAAGGTGTGCACTTTAATTTGCAGAACTTGACTGCTTCTGCTGGTTAGCCCTGCCGTGGGCCTTCAGAGGTCCCTGTGGGCATCGCCCCCTCCTCAAGAGGACAATAAAGTAGTGGTGGGGGCAGGAAGTGCTGCTGTCAAGTTCAAGCCAACTTTCGGCGACCCTGTAGGGTTTTAAGACAAGAGACGTTCAGGAGAGGTTGGCCACTGCCTGTCTCTGTGTTGCAACCTGAGGAACGTCAGAAGAGCCCTGCTGGATCAGGCCAGTGGTCCATCTCGTCCAGCGTCCTGTCTCACACAGTGGCCAACCAGCTCCTCTGGAGGGCCAACAGCAGGACAGAGGGGCGATCTCAACGACACGCTACTGGCTCAGGGTCTACCAGGCTCCCTTTTATTGTTTCTGCAAAAAACTGCATAATTCCTCCTGGGACTCCATAATTCTATCAAAATTAAGTCAACTTGGTCTTCCTCTTGAAGACCTAGCCCTATCCAACGAACCTCATATTTTTAAACTAATCAAACGACGACTCTTAGATATTGATCTGCAAAAGTTACACCCTACCCAACCTCATATTTGTTCCCCTGCCATGCTCAGCCTCTCTAACCATTTAGGTAAGAATGCCCCAATATTTTTACAATCTTCACCGCAGAGCCTTTATTCTGGCCAGGGTTCACGCATTTCCCTCTAGAATACTCTATGGCAGATATCAAATCCCAAGGCAAGAACGGCTGTGCCTCTGTGATCTTAACTCCCTCGATTGAGCACATCATTGTCGAGTGCCCCCTGTATGAGCTACCTCGCGGAAGATTCCTTCTAACTTGGCTTCATCCTAAACGTTATTTGAGCAACAAGTCAAAATGTCAACTTCTCTTGAATGATTCAATCCCTGAGATTACGAATGACGTTGCCAGGTTTCTTACAGAAGTTCTTAAGGTACAAAATTTTAGATAGTACTATTTTGATTGTACTAAATTTGTATGGAATCTTGGATTTTAATTTTACGATACAATGTTTTATATACCTTATGACTGATGATAATGCCAATAAAGGTCTATGAGTGGACAGAGAGGCCAAGACCAGTGTTCCCTCTAAGCTGAGCTAGTGTGAGCTAGCTCACAGTTTTTTAGCCTCCGGCTGACACCTTTTTGTCTTACCTCAAGAAGGATGGCTCCAGAGCAGACTTAATTTATGCAGTAGCCAAGCCCCTTGCTCACAACATTAAGGCCAATGGCTCACAACGTAGAATTTTTGCTCACAAGAGTCCACAGCTTAGAGGGAGCACTGGCCCTGGTTGAGGCCTTCTCCTGCTGTTGCCTCCTGGCTCTGGGATTCAGAGGTTGACTGCCTCTGAATGTGGAGGTTCCCCTCAGCCACCATGGCCAGTAGCTATAGATAGACTTCTCCTCCATGAATCTATCTAATCCTCTTTTAAAACTGTTCATTCCTGTGGCCATCGCTACATCCTCTGGCAGCGAACCCCACGTTTTAATCACTCTCACCGATTTCACACAAGAGCTGCGCCGCGGTGTAAAGGCAAAGTGCCTCGGCCGCATTTTGACCCGTGGCTTCGCACGATCCCCCCCGCGGTTTCGTGATCCTCAAAAAACAGGATCACGAAACCGCGGGGGAAATTGGGCGAAGCCGCGGGTCAAATTGCAGCCACGCGGCTTCGAGTGGGAAATTGACCAATAGAAGCGGGGCAACGGGAGGCGCGACCGCGGCGCAGCTCTTGTGTGAAATCAGGCTCTCGGTGTAAAGTAGCATTTCCTTTCATCCGTCCTGAACCTTGGACTTCCTCGGTGGTCTCCCACCCAAGTACTAACCAGGGCCGGCCCAGCTTAGCTTCTGAGACGTGACGAGATTGGTTTGGCCTGGGCCATCCGGGTGGGGGAGTTTAAGCCATAGCCATCCTAAATCCTTGCTGTCCTTTCTCTCAGCGCATATGCTAAGTTTGGTTGGGTTTGCTCCCATCAGAGGTCATTTCGGGGGGGATGAGGGGCCCCGGCGGTGAGGTACGGGGG